GGGTTTTGTTCAAGAAGGGAGCTCCCTGTGGTCTGCGCTCATCTCGCGAGATGCAGTTGCGGTGCATTGCTGGGAGGGCGATGAAATCTCAGCTGCGCAGCTCATCTGCCTCCGGCCTGGATCAGGTGCAGTTTCAGCGGATTCAACATCCTCGGCACTCTCGAAGCTCAGTCTGAAGATTGACAGACAAACATGGTGGAGGAGGCTAAGGAAATGGACCCGCTGGCGCGCTTCCACGCTGGATTTCGAGGTTTGTCCCACCTGCCGTTGATTCGTGACTTCATGTCTTGAAAGCTGACCAGCGCAGTTTGTGGTGAATCTGCGGCCACGGTCCCCTCCCGACACCTTCGCCATCTCTATGTCAGGAGTTCATCCACTGGGATGAAAGAGGCCCATTCCCTCTCAAGACGACTGATTCTGGCTGATTCGGCAGAGGCGTTTGGTCCTCTTTGGCTGGATGGCCTCCCTATGGGGGAGGTGGTTCAAGCCGCGGCGGAAGGCAAGCCACCAGAATAGTACAGCATTGCCAGTTGGCACTGCAGTGCCATGAAGCAGTGGTCTATTCGGCACAGCAATCCTCACCGCCCAACCCTTCTCGGGTCCACGATGCGGCAGCAACCCATAATTCCACAACCGACACAGCGTCGTGATCTGCGGTTAAACGATTTTCGCGGCCCGTTCCCCACCGGAGAACAGCCTGGTCCCACCTGCGGAGAAACCATCAGGTACCAGGCCGCTCTGATTTGCGCGGCACGGGGTAAAAAGACACCACGACATTACCCACGACCGCCGGCTGCGTGCCTGTACCACAGGTCGCCCACGCCGCTACGTTCCACCGCGGTAGCATCGTAACGACGTCACGGCAATATGGAACGAGTCCGCTGGAAATCCCGTCGACCCGGTCATTGACAAAATGGGCTTCCCCTCTCGAGGGGGGCCTGTGGGTTCTCGAGCTGTCAACTTGACTCCGGCCTCCAAGTTGTCTGTCGACGTGAAACTGCTGGACGTTCATCGTGAGCGCCCTTCGCCAAGATGCTTCGCCCCTCGTTCCTCTCGGTCCTCCTCGCCCTCGGCAGCGCGGTATCTGCCTTTGACCAGGCGCAGTTCATGCCGCGGTCGGGCATCGCCAATGCCGCCACCGACGTCGCGTCGCCCATCGTGGACCTTGGGTACTCGCAGTACCAGGGGTTTTATAACTCGACAGTGAACTGGAATGTGTACCGGGGGTATGTGCTCTTGCTCCGGGGAAAACAGAGGCGCCGCTGACACGAGATAGAATCCGCTTCGCTGCCCCCCCAAAGCGATTCGGGCTCCCGGAGGCGCCCACTGTCAGTCGCGAGAAGGTGTTTTCCGCCATCAGTGAGCCACCGAGGTGCCCGCAGACTCCCTCGGGCCCGCTGTAAGTATCCGAGGTTGGCTCCAGTGCTGGCAGGATGTGCGGCTGACAGCTTTCGTGCAGGCCAACTGGCCCGGTGAACTTTGAAGCATCGCTCAAGGGCAGCGAGGACTGCCTCTTCCTCAACGTCTTTTCCCCTGCCAATGCGACGAAGCTGCCCGTGGCCGTGTGGATCCGTACGGCCCCCTCCCCCCTCCCCCGAATAGCACTTGCTAACCTCCGTAGATGGCGGCGGATACGGTGTCGGCCAGGCCAACTCCTTCGACTATGGACACATCTCCAAGACGGTCAACAACGGCTTTGTGATTGTTCAGATCCAGTACCGCGTCGGCGCGTTTGGGTTCCTGTCTTCGGCCGAGGTCGCCAAGCACGGAACCCTCAACCCCGGAGTGCACGACATGCTCTTCGCTCTGGAGTGGGTGCAAAAGTACATCAGCTTGTTCGGCGGCGACCCCGACGAGGTCACCATCTCGGGCGAATCGGCCGGCGGTGGAGCTGTGATGCTTATGGCGATGGCGAATGGAGGAAGCGTGGGCACGCGTCTCTTCAAGAGGGGCATCGCCAGCAGCCCGTATTATCCGACGCAGCCGTGAGTTTTGTCGGTTCAAGTCGAGGAATGACAAGGACTGACCGGATACAGGAAATTCGACGACCCCCAGCCCGAGGAGTTTTACCGCGACTTTGCCCGCCGATCCAACTGTCTGGCGGCCGACGCCACCGTTGTGCCCGCTGACGGCTCCGTCTTCAAGTGCCTCCAGAACGCCGACAGTCTGGTCCTGCAAAACGCCAGTGCGTGGACAAGCTACAACGGGAAATACGGCCAATGGGCCTTCATCCCCGTCACCGACGGGACCCTCCTCCAGGAGCAGCCCGAAGTTCAGTTGCTCAAGGGCAAAGTCAATGGCGAAAGCATCCTGTCCGCCGTAAGCACCCCATACCCACCCACTACTTGGCGCACCCCCTAACCCGCTCCTCACAGGCCAACGCCAACGAAGCCACCTACTTTGTCCGGCAAAACATCTCGACCTCGGCCGACTTCGTCGCCTTCCTGCACGACATCTACCCCCACCTCTCCAAGACGCCGCGACCCCTCTACAACCGCCTCCTCGAGCTGTACGCCGTCCCCGCCTCGTTCCCCGCCAACCTCACGGCCGCCCAGCGCTTCGACACGGACGGCCTGAACCCGCCCTTCGCCACGACCATGTCGGCGTACGCCTCGGGGTGGCAGCAGGCCGCGAACAACCTCTACGCCGAGACGACGTTTGTCTGCTCGGCCTACTGGCTCGCCGACGCGTACGCGGTAGGCGGCTACGGCAAGAAGGCGTGGCGGTACCAGTACTCGATCCCCAACGCTTTTCACGGGTCGGACCTCACGGCGCTGCAGCGGGACCCGGTGGGCATCGCGTCGCTGCGGTACGACGCCGACTTTCAGCGGGGGTTCCAGAACATGTGGGGGCGGTACGTGGTGGACGGGGTGCCGACGCTGGGCAAGGTTGAGGCGGCGGCGGCGGGGCTGGCGGCAGCGAGGGAGGAGTCGTGGCAGCCTTGGGGGGCGGGGGGCAAGTTTGGGCTGTTGAATGTCAATGTGACGGCGGCGCAGCCGGTCAAGGCGGATTGGAGTGTTGTGGATGCGATGACGTTTGAGGGTGGGAGGGGGGAGAGGTGTAAGTTGTGGGCGGAGATTGGGTTTAGATGAGGGGTGGTAACACGGAGCTTGGCAGGGGGTGCACCCGGTGTCTGTCTGTCCATATTGCTGAAGACCGACCTGGAGGTTAGGACAGCCCCTCGATACAGCTCAATACATGAGGCTGAAGGTGTCTCCATTAGAGGTGGGCTGCTTTGTCATTGATGAGTTGTGAATAGGCAGAATCCCTTGGTATGGGATTTAACCAAGCACGTCTAGATTCATCCGGCCATTTCTCTCAACAGAGCCTGCGTTTCTGAACATGTTCTTCATAAAAACTATATTTGTGTAGACGTTGGGGGCTCTCTCCTCTCTGCATCCATCGTCAACTATCCGCAGCCTTGTTGCCAGATTGTAAGTGAATACCTCATCCCTCAGCTCCCTTTCTGTCATCCCTACCTGCCCTTCTGACATCCCTCTCCAGTCACGCAGCCTACCTACGAAGCCGCAATGTCAACTTGTCTTAGCTGCGATGGAAACAAAACGGAGACCGAGGCATGTTACTCTTGCCACGGCGAGGGCGAATTCGAGATAACTACCGATTGCAGGCTCTGCTCGGGGGGCGCAAATCCAGGCAAAGTCTACGTGCCGTACAGGCTGAGCAAGTGGATAACCTGTAGGTGGTGCGGGGGGTCGGCGGTGGTTAAGGAGACGAGAACGTGCGGCGTGTGTGATGGTACGGGCAGTAACGATGTGGAATGCTGGACTTGTGGTGGGAAGGGGACGGTGGATGAGGAGGAGGATTGAAAGGAGGTGGTTGTGGTGCTGGTCTTCGAAGTGCGGTCTGGGTTTGAACTTTGGGATGGGGTGGTGGACGGAGGAGTTCATGATGTTTTCGTTTTGCCGGAGGGACTCGTTTTGCGTTGGCCAAAACTGCAGGCTGGAATTGCCTGTGCCCGTTTGTTTTGATCACGACGGAGAGTGGTGGCCTGGTTGCCTTGTGCCCTGACCCCACTTTGTGGTGATGACGGGGGAGTTGGGAGGAAGGAACGACCGCCACAGACCCTCAGTATATAGGCAGGTCCTCCAATGCTCCTTCCCACAAAGTATCCGAATAGCACTATGGGCGGATTAACGTGATCCGTGGTGTAGTGTGAGTAGGTAGGCCGGTTCTCCTCACCGACAGGTGTCGAAGCTTGAAACCCGGTTGACAAACTTTTTGCTGCACTTTTCATTTTGGTTTTTGCTGGCTTCTCAGAGGAAGACATGGTACTGAGGCTCAAGATTTTCACCTTCCACAGCTTTTCTGGGGTGTGCGATTTGATTTTGAGGGTGGAAACATGCCCATCATGATCCGCATCGCACACATCCCCAACATCCCACCTTGGTGTTTTTGCAGTTTCTTTCCCAACCGACGTAGGTCACCACATGCACCATTACTGGCACCAGCAGCCACTGGTGACTGGCATCAACAAACATAGGTATCATCGTATTTCTTTTCGACCCTCATCATCCCCGCATCGAAAATCCGAAGTGGTTCAGAATGACGGCAACAGATAGGCATGAGCAACAAAGACGACGCCATCAGGCTTCAAGATTCTGACTTGAACGTTGCTTCAACTGCGACCTTTGCATAACCACAGCAGAAATGGATATTCCGCAGCACCCCCCGCGCTTCACCCTCACTCGAGCACAGTCTTTCTTCTCAAATCCCTCGACAAGTGCAGAGCTGCCCTAGATGACATAGAACCTGAAGATGTAACTGTGGTGCGGAACAGTCTGATGCATGCGAGTGGAGAGGGGGGATGGCTGAGGCAGGCTCGCAGCTATGTGTCGTCATCTTCAGTCTTGCCGAGGATGTAAGGCAAGAAGACATGGAGCTCGGACCAGGCCTTTTTCGTATAAAAGGTGGCTCCCCCCCAGAACTTTCCCTCTCTCCCTCTCTTCCTTCTTCCTCCGTCAGCTTTTATGCTGACAACAGGGGGTGTAGCTCAGTGGCAGAGCGCACAGCGAACTCGCAACAGCGGTTGATTTTTGATTTGGCTTTTTCTTTTTCAGACCAACATCAATATCGAGCGTTCAGCGAGAGAGCGATTGGTCCTGGGTTCGAGTCCCAGAACCCCTAAACACCACCCAGCCCGGGCTCAGTGGACATTCAGTTGTCCATTGAGCCCGGGCTTTTTTTTATGTCATTTTTTTTCTTCGTCTCTTGGACAGTCCCGTCGCCGTCAATCTCAACATCGGAGTGTCGTTCGTGGTAAGCGCCCACCTCGACATTGGCGACCCCGTCACGCGTTGTTCGCTGAACCGATTGGCTCCGATCCCCTTGGCCCAACCAATTGACCCTGCACAGGACAGCCGCGATGCGCTTCTTGAAACACCGCGATATGGACCAGGCTGCCGATATCCTGACCCGTCCGCACCACTTGGCCGTGTTGTTGGGCCGATTCCAGGCTGCAGTTTGCACTGCCTAGTACATAGCAGCAACCGTTCCAGCCCTCCTCCCGGTGGCATCATCAGTATGTCTGCATACCCGTCCCTTTGACCACTCTCCACTGACATGGCTCAAGGTTCCAGGAATTCTGCGACCCAGAATATCTACACCGACGGTGATGCTGTCATTGCCTTGGCAGACATCCGAAATCTGAACCAGAACACATCCCCAGTGCTTACACCAGGACAATTGTACGCGACCCTCCCCCTGTCCGCCAGCGATCGATCGATCCGCCTCCTCGATCTGGACGCCGCTGCCGACGACACCCCTCTATCTGGCTGTCTCCGTGTGGCATCGCTGGCATCGAGCCCTCGCTTCGCCGCCTTGTCATATGTCTGGGGCGGGTACACCGAACCAAGGGACACCATCTCCTGCAACGGCAACTCTTGCGCTATCGACATCACCTCCAACTGCCGCGATGCCCTCCTTGCTCTTCGGCAGCGATATGGCGCAATCACCGTGTGGGTGGACGCCATCTGCATCAACCAGGATGACGACACGGAGAAGGTGGTGCAGATTGAGCTGATGAATGAGATTTACACTTGGGCGCATACCACACTGATCTGGCTTGGGCAAGGAGATGCTCTTTCGGATTCGGCGTTGACGTGGTTGGCAAAGAACGCTCGAGGTGTCATCATTACGGATATCTTGCAATTTGGGAGTGCACCAAGCCAGGCTGGCCGAGTGAAAGCTTGGTGCAAGATACTGGCATCCATCATCACCGATCCATTCGAGCAAGGGGTTGCATGGTTGAGGCTGGGGCGAGCTATTTGGGGTGACGCGAACACTCACTGGATAGGTAAGCACCCAAACCTTGCCATGGCATGCAACTGCTGGTTCATGCTGATACGCGTTGCACAGACAAACTATTCTGGAAGGGCCGCATACGTCCCGGTTTCAATATTCCCGCGCTGGATAGCCTCTTTTTTAGGCCGTGGTTCCAGCGGGCCTGGACGTTCCAGGAGTACATCTTGTCTACGAACCAGATATTCCTTTGTGGTAACAAGGCAATAAGCGGAGACAACCTGATCGGTGGTCTCGAGGCTCTATTTAAGGGCTTTGAGGGGACCGCTGTCATGCCCAAAATCCCCCGCAGTGTCTTTAGCATGCGAGACCTTGCCGTCGCCTGGATGAACGTCAGCCGCGTCACCCAGTGGAATGACCAGAAGCCTGTGCGCAGACCACTCCCCTTGACAACATTGCGGGCTTACCAGCAAACCGCCCTCTCCAGCCTCTTGGAACCAGCTACGATCCTTGCTGTCTGGACCAGCTACGTCCTCACCCTCGCCGCCCTCGGCTTCTTCGTCATCTTCTCCGTCGTGATCCTCCTCGGAATCATCCCTGCCGTCCTACGCCGAGAGATCCCTCAGCTCCTGACAGCCAGTTGGATCACACCCATGTCTTTCGTCGGGATGGGTCTAGCTGCTGCCATTCTCACACTGATGGCGTACGGCCTGACCTACATCCTCAGCGACACCCATCGACAGAAGAGCAGTCTTCGCCGCGACAACCACAGGTTCCCCGACACATGCCGCCAACCCGGCTTTACCCTCCCCCCTGCATCGTCAAAAACCGCACCTCGAAAACAAGAAGACAGCTCTAGCATCGAAGACGGCCTCTCCAAGCCCCAAGGCACAAAGGCCAAGGACTCGGAGACGGTTCACCTCGCCGCAATTCTCCATGCACTCAGGGAGCGCGGCGCCACGAACCCAAGAGACCGGTCATTCGCGCTACATGGTGTCCTCTCACGCCTCGAAGGTTTCCGTCTGACCTCCGTCGACTACTCGCTCTCCTGCACGCGCATATACCAGGCCCTCGTGGCAGATCTCATTCGCTGGCGACCGGACATGACGAATTTACTTCTCGATGCGGGCTGGTCTAGGACGGGAATGGTAGAGGAGGACGACCCGGCGCCTTCGTGGGTGCCCGACTGGGACATCGTCTCCAAGAAACAATCCATACGTCAAAACCCTGGTCTCTTCGCTCCCGACAGGTACTACCGCCCCCATGAGCAATCCTTTGCGACAGACGGCTGGCCGATACGCGCAGAGGTAGACGGCGATAGACTCCGCGTCGCCGGTGTCTGGGTTGGGCGTGTCGGGTTCAGCACCGGGAAGTTCTTTTACATGGCAGGAGTGACAGACCTTGTCACCAGCGCGGAAGACCGCCGAGCAAAGGTGCAAACCATGGCCGCTGATCCCCTGCTCGCAAAACAGACGGTCGTTCTAGCGGTGTGGGTGCTCTACTGCCGTCGAAACGCGACGCTCGCATACGAAAGCGTCCCGGATGCCATGAACACCGTTTTGCGCGGCCCTGCGTTGTCGACTTCTGGACGGCAGAGGGCCGCGGAGGAGAGGAATAGCTTCTATACGGTGTATCAAGCTCTCATAGCTGTTGAGCCAGAGGTTCTGGACCGTGCGGCGGCTGGAGAGGCCGATGAGGCTCAGATGAGAGTTCGCGAATTGTTTGAAGAAAGCGAGAACAATCAGCGTTTGCTGAATCTTGCGCTGCGTTACGTCAACGACTACCTGGCTGAGAGGAGGGCGTTGTTTGTCACTGACAGGGGACACATTGGTACGGGTGCGACGGACGCTCGAGTTGGCGACCGGCTCGCGCTGATTGCCGGGGTTAGTGTGCCGATGGTGTTGAGAGAGAAGCATCGAGGTGGTGGGGAGTATGTCGTCGTTGGGCCTGCGTTTGTTCCTGGATTCATGGAGAGTGGTGATGTCGGGATGATGAGCACGGAGATGATTACACTTGTATGATATTTGTTTGGAAAAGGAAGCCAAGAGTGTTGCCCGGTGGAAAAAAGGGGGCAACGCCAAGAAAGTTCAAAATCACCCAACACGCCGACGACATTGAACGATGACACCGACACCCGGGTGTCGAACGTACTGATGGATGCTCCTGGTTACGCAGTAGTTGTCATGTGAAACCTCCCTGACATTTCCAAGTTCCCGGACGCAGCGGCATCACTGGGTCGCGGTGACGCCAACCAGATCCGCACCCCGAAGATCCGATGACGTCAACGGCACTTTCACATAAAGGCCCCTCTTCATCACCACAACAGCGATTGAACACGGCATCAACAACACCAGAGCACTCACTCGACACCACACCAAACCAAACAACACAAGATCTCAAAACCAACACAACTCACTTCCACCACAATGCAGTCCGCCCCCGAAGGCACCTACGGCCCGCACACCACCCGCACCGCCAACACCCTCGATCCCCGCGTCGACTCGGACATGGACGGCCGGGCCGCCGCCGCCGCACCCACGCACCAAGCTCCCGTCGCCGCCGGGCTCAACTCGACCGCCACCACCGGCGCCCCGACGGAGAACACGGGAGAGCGCGTCGCGCGCGGCATCAAGGGCAAGATCGCCCAGGGGCATGTACGTCACCTCACCTCACCTTCCCCCGCCTGCTAGACATGGACGGACGCTGATGAAGTGTACAGGGCGTCACGGAGTCGCTCCGCGGCAACATCATGTCGGGGGTCGACAGCCTGGTGGGCGATAAGGCGAAGCAGCCGGAGCATGAGGCGATTGCGGCGGCGGGGGATCGGGAGGTGTTGGATAAGGAGTTTGTGAGGAAGGGGACGTTGCATAAGAGTTTGTAACTTTTGGGGTGGCGTTTTGGGGTTGATGGAGTGGGATGATGTTGAGGAGAGAGGGAGCCGGATCGGGTGATCTGTCTGCAGTCAGGCTGCTCGGGTCTGCACGTGGCTTCCAATTTTTGATGGCGTTATCGATATCGTGAGTTTGAGAATGCTGAATCGACGTTGAAGTCGCCCCGAATTTCGCGCTGTGCTAAAAATACGGGCATGTCGCACGTGTCAAGCCCTCGGCCGACGTGAGCCGTGGTTGATGGTGTTTTTGCGGGGGTACGGCTGTCCCGAAATTGGCCAAGTCCCCCTCCCGTAGGGCTGTGGTGTTTGCCGGTCATGTCATCAGCTCAGCCTGGGCGAAGCGACAGATGGACGGGACGTCCGTAGGTCGCCCTATCAACTGCCGCGGTGTGAGTGACACGGCAGGCAGCGATCGTCGACTTTTTACGACATTTCCTCTTCTGGTCTCGGATGTGTCAATGTGCTGCAGGGGCTTGAGGTTGAAAAATGTGTGAATGATGACGGCGAAATTAAGGTTGTTCTGGATGACACCCCGGGCTGCCTGGATGGATGGGTCAAAGTTACGAGGGTTCCAAAGCTTCGCGGGGAATGGCGGCGAGTGCCGGTGAGCTGGTGCCAGATGTCGCGATCTTGCGCAGGAGCCGCATTGAATTCCCATCTGCGTGCCGCGACTGCGCCCTGGATATGCGGGCTGAAGACCGTTGGCCGTGTCGGGCGGTTTCGAAACATGGAGGCGTCCCAGGGGTGCATAGTCGGTGCGCTTTTCTTTCAGCGCTCGTAAGCGCCAAGGCCGGCTCTCAGAGCAAACAGTCAAAATATTGGTCCAACATGTCAATCGCTTTCATCGATATCAATGTTGGCGGGGGCGACAATGTTCGTCATGGGATGCCTCCATCGTCAATCGGCAAACGGTTCTGGCCAAGACAACATGAAAACCCCACAAAGAGTGGATTTAAAGACCGGAGACAGCACTGCCATTGGCTCAGCCCTGGTACCA